ACCACCATATCCAACTATTCACTTTGTATGTTCCATTACTTGGCAACTTAGTCACTAAAATTATAACAACCGATCTGAAGTAACTCATTAACCAAGTTTTTAAAAAAATTGAGTCAATCGGTGACCAGTCTTTTGATAAGCATATTTTTTTTTTCATGCCCTCGATAGTATGAATTAGCTGATGAATTTCAAAGCAGTCCTGAACGCGTCCAGTCTGCAGTTGTTGATTTTATTAAATTACCCATATACCACAAGGAGGGTTTTCTTAGCTAGACTGAACCAAAAAGACGAGTATGAAAAGTTTCTTGCTTTAATTTGTTGTAGTTATCTTGAAACTTTATGTTCTGTCGGCACCGCAATTGGCAACTTTGTAAAACCACCGCGACAAAACAACTTATGTCAATACGTTGGTTCCACACCTGTCAAAAACAGAACGAGTGGAACATTTTCATCGATATGGAGCGTTATGACAAACCATCATTTCTGATAAGATTTCGTGATTTTAAACAACCATGCCACTTATTGCATGAAAAGAAAAAAAAACAAAGGTAAATATTACGAATGTTTGTTCAAGACTCGCAGTGGGACTCGTGAACCTGGTGTTGTGGTTTGAAAAATGTATTTTACTTTGATTGCAGTGACAAATCTGTTAGCACGCTTCATTCATCCGCTGTTTCTTTAAAATTCTCAGGTTCGTTTTCTTGTTCCTCAATTCACAGAATGAGTTTTGTACAAACTCACACTGTAAGGCTTAAAGTTTTCCAAACACTGTTTCTGTGATTGGTTTCAGTTCTCTCATTGTTATGAGAATCGGGGTTTTCAGGAGTTTATTGTCTTCAACATAGTGTGCTTCAAAACTTTAATTCGTTGTGATTGTTATGTTTTAGCTAGACAAAGTCATACCACCAGATTGTCAGATCCTTTTTCATGATATTGCCTTAGTTTCAAAATGCCTTTGGGGTGAATTTACCCGTACCAGTCTGAGATTAATTATTCAAGAAGCCCTGTTCAGACAAGACAGTTTGCACCTAGTTGTATCATAATTAAAAAAAAAAAAGAATTAGTTATGGGTAACTACATTCGCTTTAGTATACCACGCGACCGAAAACAAAACTCGGTGAAAGCTGAGCTGATGTTATATCTCAGTATTAAAAGTCTATTCGTAGTGCAAAAGATAATTGTGCGGTGACTGAATACATAACTAGGGACATCGGGAATTCATTTCAATGGAAAAATTATTTCCAGTGAATGACAGTGAAGCTGGAAGCAACTCTAGATGCCTCAGTAAATTTAAAAAATCAAAAAAAAAAAAAGGAAGAAAAAAAAATTCAAATCAAGGAGTAACAGATTATGTGGTCTAATCGTCAATATCAGAGAAGTCCTGAAAGGTTCTGTTGTCGATGGCAAACATGGGTGTGTCGATAGCAAACATGGGTGTGTCGATGGCAAACATGGGTGTGTCAATGGCAAACATGGGTGTCTCGACAACCTGAGCATTGCTAGTTTCAGGTCCTGAGCCTTACAGCCAATGACATCAAAGTAAAACTGACTGATTCGTTTGCACGAACCAGACGCTTACCACTTAAATGACACTTGATTTGATTATCGATGACTTCCACACGGTTTATCGAGATGTCGGTCACTTTTTGCAAAGATCTGAAAAATCAATGTATCGTTGCCAGTTGAAGAATACTTAGGCAATGTAATAATAAGCGTCATGTCCCCTTTATTGTCAGTTTTTTGTTGGAAACAACGACAGTAACACCATGAGGTTAAATCACGCAATCCTTCCAGTAAAAGCATATGGAGTTATGCTGATGCCGATAAATTTCAAAAATAACGTTGCCCTTCGACTGGAGTTGTATGGCTGCAAATCAGGTCAGTGTTCTTAGTACTGCTTAGGGCCGAAATATTTATACTCCCCTAACAATGTCACACGGCAAGTAATAAAAATCAGATGTATTGATATGCTTCTGATATCACATTTCATCTATCGAATGCAGCAATTCACTCACTTCACGCTGCACATCGCATTTTACATATCAGATATCGCATGATGCAAATTTCCATAGTGCAGGATTGATGCTTCTGTTTAACTTCAATTTGCTCGCATCTTCTTATCTCAGATTATTATTTTGTGGCCTGGTTGACGTTGAGTAAGACACCATACACAGTCGATTCCCTGGCTCCAAGAATGAAAGATGACAATCATTTAAATCAAATGATCAGAGACGTGAAAGATCAGGTAAAGAGCTGAAAGAATAACACCTCAAGGGATCTTTCAGCTAATCAAACCAATAAGATGGAGAAATGAATCCCCAATGGATTGATTACTTGTATTTTACCTTTCTTTGCGCCGATGATATATCAATAATATTAATTCTCATGGATTGCTAAAGGTCTAGTGCACACAATCACGTTGATTGGAGTTAAGTCTTTATCTCTGTAGGTTTGAGCAAGTAGTTAAATAGTTTCTTGTAGTGTACCCATGCACTCGGTTTAGTCGTAATATTTCCAAGAAAAACCAATTATGTTCCGGTCATAATATGTCTCCGGAACGAGGATCATTGTTCTTCTACTGTAGGTTTGGTTCTGTTACACGCTTTTATCGCCATCGTACACTCAAGGGAAGATCTGATTATAGGCTGCTCGTTCCGTCCACACGTCAATTCATGTAAAAGAGTTCGCTTCCATCTTGTAAGAGTCTTTTGGCTTCAAAGTAGTGACAAGTTCTGTTTCTTTTTTTTCTGTACATTAGGTGAAACATCTACTAAGCCATACACCGGGGTTTTTAAGTGTCCAAGTTCTACACTTCAGGTACGTCAGTGGAGTAAGAAATTGACGTTTACTAAAAATTTAAACCTTTGTATCAGCGCTGCTATTCTGTCTATTTGTTTGTCGGCCCCTTCTCCCGAAGTGCGCGTACGATACTCTGCCAAATAATGCACTCCTAAGATCTAAATATCGATTCTCCACACCCTCTGCCAAACATATCTTCTAACTCTAGCTCCGTTAATTTTGTTTTAAATAAAAAAATATTCCCTACTTGCAATTGATGTTTTACATAAGTCATCAATAGTCTCTAGGTCCTTGTAATCCCAAGGTGACCAAAAAAGGGAAATTCTCTTCTCATTTCTTCTTCATATTGTAAGATCTTGTGAGGAGAAATTCCTCTTCTGGTCACCTTTGAGAATGCAAGAGCCGAGAGAGCTCGTTGAGCTAGTGCCATTCATAACAGGCGTCTCTAAACTGCTGGATCACCTGTATCACCAGCGTCCTGGGTGAAGATGGAAAGTGAATGTTGCACGTCTGTTACGACCATGAAAGACAGAAAAACAGCCTGCGTTATGTGTTTGAGCGTCTGCAATTTTGACTTTTTTTATTTACTTCATTCCTAGCCAGCCAGTTTTCTTTCCCGTCATTTTCCCTTTCTACTGTCTTCAGCTGGGCTACTCAGCATTAATCCCCTTTTGTCTATCCTCGCATATCTTCGTGTTTTCCTTTCATTAGCCCGCGAGAGTCTCCCACAAAGGGAGAAGGTACAATGATCACAGCCGAGGTAAAGATCGAATGTCTACGAGCCGGCCAAACGCATATTATAGCACGACTGAAAGAAGAGATTGATTACGTGGAACTCCAATACACAGGTAGGATCATTTATGTTTCTCTCACACTTGATCATCAAAAATACTAGATTACTGATTTGAAAGAGTTGCCTTCTCAGAGATTTGACTGAAAATATTGTTGTTACGGGACCTATCATTGTCGCTTGTCTCGCGAAGCTAAATCTTAAAACTTCGAAGTCTAGTCATTTCCTGATATCGTTGTGGTTTGAATCGTCAAGCTGTCGATATTCCGATCGTGAATGTGACCGCGACAGACACAAATCAGCCTGCCGGGAATAGTTATAACAAGGACTTCGTGAAACGAGCCCGTAGTGTCACACGAGGATTGAATTTAGAAATATTAGCTTTTCCAAGGTTCTCTGGTCTTCCTCTCTACACAAAAGACAGCAGACCAGACTCAAATTTGACCTGGAATGAGAGGACTTGGAACCACAACGTAGTTGTGCTGCTATCGACGATAAAAAAGATTGTTCCACAGCAAAAATTATCTCGGAGCCCCACACTTGCTTTACATATTGCTCGAATCATAAGTGAAGCTAAGACATGAGCACTGATTGGTAAGACTTGGGCCACCTAAGCCTCACTCCACAACCAAGACTGGCATTTATTTTGTCCAGAAAACGTTGTCTTCACATATCGCATACTAATGTGCATCTTGTCCTTTTATTACAGCTGACCAAACAGATCTTCTTGTAAATATTTCCTTGAACCTGAGCACAATCTTAGAGGGAGCGACAGAAATACTTCCAGGTCATCCGTATAGAATCGACGCAATTCTGTCTTCATCACAATCAAATCTAACCGTGGCAAAGTATACACAGTTAGACTTCAAATGGGAGCTTTCCACAGTAGATGAAAATACGGGACAGTTTTCTCCATTTGTCAGCCTCCTTGACAATGTAGCTAACATAACAGTGACTTGTGACCTGCCCGTGGGATTTACCTATGTTCGTGTGTCTGCAAAACCGAAAGGAATAATTGGAGCTATCTCTTACACGTTTGGTTTTATAAGAATTCTGCCTAAATTGAGGGCATTAGTTTCCGGACCAAACACGACTTTTAAGGGCAGCGGACCTATTGAGCTTCATGTAGTAACTACCGGTGTACTGGGAAACTCATTTGGTATGGAGGCGCCTAACTTGGAGTATGCGTGGAGTTGTAGAGATCACAACACAAATACGTCTAACGCAACCTTGGGGGCTGTTTTTGAGTCTCCTTCTCTCAACTACACGAGTACCAAGGGATGCTTTGGTTATGATCCTGGAATTTCACATTCTATAAATGGGCAAAGGGTGTTAATAAATCCAGACCTCGTGGAGGCTAAACGAGCGTATGTTTTCCAAGCACTGGTAGTGCAAGGAAAGAGATCTGTTATAATATCTCACACAATCTTCGTGGACACAAACTTATCACTTGCATTCAGGTGAGAATAGCTTTATTCCAAGCATGCCTAATTATGTCCTTTACCGTGTCTATACCGCATGCGCCTTTTATCGGACAAAAGAATTAAACACTGACCCTGGTCATTCCCTTCCAACAGTAGTATCTTGAGACGGAGCGGAATAGCAATTTAGAGGAGACTAACACAGATTATAAACAGTGAACTAGAAAAGTGAAGGCCAAATTCTCCGAGATGTAAAAAGGGTAGGATAGCTCACTAAGGTGATAAGACATTCGACGTGTCTGATGATTTACAAAGAAGTTCGAACCCTCCTTTATTCAAGATGGAGCTGCAAATGTGATTGGCTCATAATAAAAGACAATCTAAGACTTTCTATGCCAGCTGCTCAAGCGAGCCATCTAACATTTCTGTTATCTTCCCTTAGATGTGTTGCAAACTGTGAAAAGAAGGTCAGCATACGGAAGAAATTTGCACTAGAAGCTCACTGCTCAGGGATATCTTGTCCCTTTCTCAGACACTATCGGTGGTCTCTTTTCGTTAAGTCTGACGGGAGCTTCAATCAATCGTGGAAAGCGATTGGTAACTTGGCAAACATGTCTCTGACATCCTTGACGGGTCCAAGCCTCATTTTAGAAAAGGGGGACGCTTTTCGTAACAAAACTGCCCTGCTGTCGAACCAAACTTACAAACTAATCATGGTTGCCTGGTTGGACGATGGTAATTACGCAGAAAAAAGTTACATTTTTCATACAAATGTCCCACCATACTCTCAAAGCAACAACGCTGAATGTTTCGTGGATCCTACGAGTGGAGAAGCAATCACAACAAAGTTTCGTGTGGAATGTGTTAACTGGACAGACTCTGACTTGCCTCTCACTTATCAATTTGCTTACAAAACTCAGTTTGGCTTCGTAGCTTTTCACACAGGATGGCAGCCAAATGTGACAACGGAGCTACCAATAGGGAACAAATCGACAAACTATTCCCTTGACCTGCGGTTGGAAATTTTAGATTCGCTTGGTGATTATTCCGATGTGTATTTAGCTGTTCAGGTAAATCGTCCTTCGCTGCATTTCACGATAACGATTTTATGGCATCCTTATCACGAAGGTGTAATTTAGAACTTAGATTTTTTCCTTACCATCCTAAAAGGAAGCTCGAGATTGATGCTGCTGAGATTTTTCCTCCGTTTTGACCTGTTTTGGTATCAAACGGATTTTCAAAGCCAGCTTAAGACGTTTTGGTTACTTTCCAAAAGTAAAAGGTTGTCATAGCCTCTCTAGGCCTAATCAGAAACAACCTTCGTGTTCAACTTAATCGACAAACACCAACTAATTTAAAGGGAACTCCAAAAAAGTCTTGAAGTAACAATGAAAATTTTCTCATAAAAACTGTTGGCGTTGGTCATCTTTTCCCCTCAGGTTGCACCACCAAGATCATCAAATATAATGGAATCCCAAGGTCAACTGGATAACCTATTTGCAAGCGGCGATGTTGATAGAGCTATGCAGATGGCTTTTGCCATGCTTTCTGCGGCTGGTGATTCAGATGGAGCTCAATCAGTAGGTTTATCGAACTGTAAAAAATAAAAGGTGGCGAGCATTTCATTGCATTATTTTTCCGTATAGGAGAACAATCCCATGCTTTTCTGCACTACCTCTATCAAATATACATTGCACGGGCTGCCATTTTTACTGGCCTAACTGTTTATTTCTATAGTACAAGAGCTCATTGATCGACAAAATGGAAAACATCGTGGTCGGTAGTGTAGAGCAGGCAACATTAGTGGTAGGAGTTCTTGCTATGGCTACAGATAATGACGATGGAATATCAGGGGATTCTCAGGTAAAAACCACAATGTCTTAACAATGTCAAACATCTGTCATGCAGATGCTATAAGATATGCATACTCGTCTGGGCTGTCTTTGTATACAAGCAGGTCATTCCTCTGCCTTAGCCTGCTTTGGATAGCTGCCAGACGTTCTCACATTAACTGAGGACTGCAAGATAACCTGGCCTGTAAGAATTTCTCATCACCCATTTCTTCGAAATAACCTCAGCGGATTCTTCCGTTAAGGATTTGGTTCTTGCATTTTATGCCCTGGACAATTTTTGAATCATGAAATATTTTCCTACTTCTAGGAAAAGGCTTTGAACTTACTTGGCAGCACCGTGGACTTCCTTTCGTCTCAAATGTCAAATGGTTCGATGGACGCGGAACTGGTACAGAGTTTAGGCACCAGTCTCTTTAGTGGAATTGGGAACGTGCTTGGCGCAGCCTCTGATGAAGCTGGGGCCGAGAGTGAGGATTCTGAGGGAGAAGATGAAGAAGACAAAGATTCCGACAAAGACCATGTTAACACGGATGAAATGAAGGAAAAGGTAAGTCTTTCATCTTCCCTCTGACCGTTTTCTTTGCACTCTGTGCTGTGTTCTGATCCCACTGTAGTACGACGAACTGTACCACACCATAGTTAGCAGGATATATTTTCTTTTTCGTGATACAGAGCAAGAAAAGGGCGCAAAACGCTTTGAGTCTGGTGTCACAAGTGGGAGATAGCCTGCTGTCAACAAAAGCTGTGGGGGAAAAGCCCACTGTGTTCAAGACAAAGTCCATGGGAGTTGTGCTAGATCGCCAACGAAGCTCGGATATGGGAGGCAAGAAGCTTGGTGAGGGCTCCAATCGTGTGGCTTTACCTTCAGCAGATTCTCTCTTTGGTAACGATGGGCCCGACGCTGTTGATTCACAGGTATGGTTTCTTATGCACCTTTTGGTACTGCATCTGTAACGCACGTCTACCTATAAGTCAGGATACGCAGATAATAATAATAATAATAAAAGTCTTTATTAAGCACTCTAAACAACAAACGTGTTTAGTTACAATGATATGAACTCAGCAAGTATAAAACTAATTAACTAACTAAATTACTAACTGACTAACTAATAAGAGAACAAACATCTATTAACAAAAGTCCCCTTGAAACGTTCAGTTCTGACAAGAGGGAGAATATAATTATGGCGCCTCTTACGTAGCGTAACCATTGGTCGCTCTGGTGGCAAAAGGTCATCAAAGCTGTTGTAAAATCGCTGTCGGTGATCTTGGCTCACAACTTCTTATCTTTTAGAGTAATAATATTTTTAATCGAATAAAGCTCTTTACAGTAACCAAGCTTAAAAGCTCTCTTGAACAGCCTGTCTATGCGACTCAGATACTTATGATAATACGCGCAGCCCCATACTTCTACAGCATATGTAAATATAGGTAGATATAATCAACTAAAGTATAAACCTGTTTGTTTCAGCATCTAATTTTGACTGAAGGAAAGGTTAAAGATGGTTGTTGGCAAAGTAAACTTTATGCATATAGTGTACCTCTCTTTAGCCTTGGTCATTTCCTACCTCGGATAAAAAAAATAACGACATAGAAGAAGCGCTGTTCCTCTTAAACTTGAAATAGAATTAGTCAAGGGGTATTCTCTCCTTCAAAGAGGAGTCAGAAAAAAAGCCTCATCAACCCAAACTTGGCTTTTCCTTTCGATCTTAAGTTAAATTAAGCTGGTTCATTTCTCTCTGGCATGAGAAGACACACAGGGCTTGCACTGTAAGTATTTGGGAGAGCTCAATACAATTCCTTGTAAAAAAATTATAAGGAATCGTATGGAGCTTTTTTAGCATTAGTCGAGGCGCGGCGAGTGTTGTCACGTATGGCAAGGATAATACATGACAACACCCGCCACGCCACGACTAACGCTTAAAAAGCTCCACGCAATTCCTTATAATAAAATTATAGGGAATTGTATATGGAGCTCTCCGGGATACATACAGTGCAAGCCCTGTGTGTCTTCTCGTGAACAACCTCAAATTTGTTTTGTGGATTCACTGCTGGAAAGCACTAGACCCCTTTGCGCATGGATATAAAACACATCTGCACGAACCCTAACATTTCTAAAATGCAACTTCTACATGTTATTTCTTTGAACTAGATGCTGGCATTTAAAGATAATCCTTTCACATGGGACAAGAGTGCCAAAACAGTGAAGTCCTCAGTACTCGACTTCAAACTCAAATCTAAAGGTGGTGACGCGTTAAACATCTCAGGGCTCCAGGAACCAGTTGAGTTATTCATTCCCATAGCGAGTAAGGAAGGTTCTTCTGATAAAGACAACAGCTCAGCCGAAAGCTTGTTTTTTAAACCAAGCAATGGAACGTCAAATCTTCGCTACCACAGGTTTCTGGTGTCATCTCACGAAGTTCAAGTAGCGATACGAATAAGGCCCGAGAAAGGAAAAAGAGTGGATGTCTTCGTCAACTACAAAACGAAACCAACACCACATCGGAATGTTTTTAACACGACCATCCCCAATTGGTCTTCCTGTGCTAACTTTACTGGTGAATCTCCGGACAATCTAAATTGTTCCTCGGATCCTTACACTTTCACATTTTCGAGTCTCATATCAGGACATACCGGCCCTCACTTTCTTGGCATACGATATATGAAAAGAGATGGCGAAGCCCAATCAAAGATGTCTTCTAAACGAAAAAGAAGATCATGTGGTCTTATCCATGGACGTATGAAAAGGTCATGCGTAGATGTCAAGGACCCTCCCACTACACCTCCCCCGACACCTATGATTATAGTTCCAAAGTACAACTCTTCTACGGATGTAAATTACTCGTTGAGTATATCTGTAAGCGGTTGCCTGTACTGGTCAGAAACAAAAGAAAAATGGACTGGAGAAGGATGCAAGGTGCGTTTGTAAGCTGACTACTGCTGTTGGTCTAAACAACCCTAGAGTGAATTTTTTCCTACTCATCATATGCAGATGTTATAGGTTAACAGCCATAAGCACCTTTGCAATATGTGTCACTGTAATGACAACGAATGGTCTGCATCACCTTACAAGACTACGCCAATCATTTCGTTTACAATTAGTTGATTAACGACTGTAAATCTTCTAGGTCTAGTGGAGTCGTACTATAAATTACCGGGGTGATTATATTTGGTTCAGTATTAAGTAGACACTTCCTGATATCGATAGTTGCAACAACAAAACATGATTAAAAAGGAAAGGTCTGTAAAAATTGGAAATGTACACAGTAATCATCTGTTACTTAAATTTCTTCATCATGTTTCCTCGCTAATGCATTCTGTTACTGTTGGACATTGTATTCCTTACAGGTTGGACCGAACTCGAACTCAAAACAGCTACACTGCTTGTGTACTCATCTCTCTGCATTTGGTGGCGATTTCTTTGTTGCACCAAACCCCATAGACTTCGACAAAGTGTTCGCAGCATTTAGCAGCTTGGCCGAGACAGGCAACTTTGTCGTGCTATCAACAGTTTGTGCCCTTCTTGGACTCTATGTAATCGGTCTTCTATTAGCCAGGAGAGAAGACAAGCGCGATGAATTAAGGGTGAGAAAAACCATTTGGTGATTTTGATAGTCACTGTTAAATTGTCGCCGAAGTACACATTTTTAGTCACTTTACAGCTTTTTATTTGTGCAGATTGGCGTATTATGAAGCGTTTTCGACCTGAGAATTAGTCTTCCCTTATATGCACTAAACCTTTGCCTAAGAGTGGAGAAAACTATTGTTCAGAATTACGACCTAACTAATGAGTGGCAATTCGATGTCATAATTCTTTTCAGGTCGTAGCAAACGTTTGCATTAACGAGAATCAAGGAGACAACAAATATCTCATATCTATTCAAACTGGTATGTGGAGAGCTAATGGAACTACCGCAAATGTGGGTTTGGCTATTCATGGTAGCGATGGAAATACAGAGGATATTACCCTGACTGATTCCCAGTCGGAGAAGGTCTTCTTCTCCAGAGGCAGCATTAACAATTTCACCCTTTGTCTACCAGAGTCACTTGGTTCACTTGAGAAGATCCGTATCTGGCACGACAACAGCGGCGATAACCCGTCCTGGTTCTTGACGCAAGTGCTTATTGTGGACGTGGTGACAGGAGAAAAAGCACATTTCGTAGCGAACAGGTAATCACTCCTCAGATTCTTTCAACCTCAGTCCGTTCTATACCGATAGTATGTTTTTTTCTTTTGGGCTGTAGGTATTAACCATTTGTAAGTTAAGACCGTACGGGTAATGAATTCATCGACTCGGTGCATGCTTCTACTCAAGTGGAAAATGATTTAAATTCTCAAATAACATCTCTTTGTCTTCTGGTCGTGCTAATGAGAGGAGGACGGTGTAGTTCTCAATAACTTCACCTGCTCAAACTTTCGACCGAGGGCCGTGTAATGGGACCCTCTACTTATACGGCTAAAAACGACGTTTTATCCACATACGTTGATGCCTTATGAAGATGAATATTAATATACATACATTTCTCGTTATTTGTTTATTTTTATAGGTGGATTGCAGTAGAAAAAGAAGACGGGAAGTTAAATCTCGAGTTAACAGTCTCCGGAAAAAAAGAGCTTTCAGGTTTCAAAAACTTATTCTATTCGAGAACGGCCACAAGCCTCGGAGACAAGCATCTCTGGTTATCAATATTCACTCGACCACCACATAATCCATTCACACGGGCTCAGCGTCTGGCATGTTGTATATCCATTCTATTCGCAGCCATGGTTACCAATGCCATGTTTTACAATTTTGGTACACCACCTGGAGACGCAGTGCAGATCGGTCCCCTCAAAGTTAGCCTTACACAGATTAAGATCGGTATCCAAAGTAGCATAGTTGCTATCCCTGTCAACGTACTTGTTGTGACCATCTTCAGACAGTTAAAAGCGAAGGAATCAGGCAATGCCGAGGAAGATGGTGCACGACGCAGAGGATGTTTACCTCACTGGTTTGTCTTCGTTGCCTGGTTTATCTGCACCATGGCAACCCTAACTTCAGCTGCGTTTATTGTATTCTACAGTCTAATGTGGGGTGCAGAGACATCCAATGAATGGCTTGTGTCTGTAATGGTGTCTTTCTTCCAAGATGCTATAGTCATGCAGCCACTAAAAGTTCTACTGGTTGCCTCCATACTGTCCATTTTGGTGAAGAAACCTCCAGAACAAGAGAAAGTAATGGGTGAAGAAGTCCAAAGGAACGCGGCCGGAGAAGTCATCACCCTCAATAAATCAGATCTTGAGAAGGCACGAAAGTTTAGAAGCAGTCTTGTCCAAATTGGTCGCAAAGTTGTGGAATTTACACTTTTTGGAATATTTGTACTTCTTATGATGGTGGTGTGCTATGGTAACAGGGGTGTAGAACGATTCATGGTCACCGAGTCGATGGACAACCTATTTCAAACGTTTACCATCAAGGTAAAATCTTTTAAATCATCATCAAGACAATAATTAAGTTGCAGCGGGATATCGTGAAGACGACTGGAACAAAAGCACCCAGCAAATAAACCATGAAAAACGCGTTGTTAAAATATCCGGTTTAGTGAAGCCGGTGATTCATCTGTTCTTAAAAGCGTCTCTCAATGTTGTTCTAGCCACCCATGAAACCTCCATGTTTCTTTTAATCTTTTAGGTCAAAGACACTCCGACTTTTTGGAAATGGTCAGAGAAATTTCTCGTGCCAAACTTGTATGAAGTCGATTGGTATAATGGCCGCAGCTTTGGGTACAAAGAAGGATTTCTCAGTAACCGAGCAGCGTTCTTAGTCGGTATGCCGAGAATGCGGCAATTAAGGGTTAAAGCAGGTTAGCAGCAGAATGTTCAGCTTTCTCACTATCTTTCGACTATTAATCAAACTATTTGTTAGATAGCAATAATGTCTTGCATCAAAGCTAAAGGCTATAGACACACATACATGCCGCTTTCTAATTGCATCCTACTGTTGATACTGACAGTCAGTTATCTCTTAGAAAAGTAATTAATTCGAAGATTATGTACGTCAGGTGTTAGATGAAGTGAGGGACTTAGTGGTCTAATGGTTAGGGCGCAAGACTCTCGGTCGAGAGTTCTATTAAATCCCTTTACTCCCGCAATGATACTCTCCAGCTAGGAGTAAAATTTGTACAGTGAACTGTCTTGGATGTCTGACGAAATGTTCCATGAACTTGCATGCCATCTAGGCAGAGTACAGAAACAGAAACCGGAATAAGTTCTGACTGGCTGAGAAAATTGGCTGGAGTGCATACTTTACCCTTCCTGCTATGCGTGACATGGAAATGCAGCTGAGGCCGTGTGCTGTATCTACTTGTATATCATTAATCTCCATTTTTTTTTTGGAAATTTCTCAACAGAAAAAAACTGCTCCATAGCAAAGAACGAACCATCCCTGGCACGTCAGTTCTTAAGATGCGTTCCGTTCTACACAAGTGAGATGGAAAGCGTATCCCAATACAACAGACCAGGATGGATCCCTGTAAAAAATGCCACACTTTTTTACACAGAGTATGAACTCGAAAAACAGTGTCCTAAGCCTTGGCGGTATCTCGAAGCTGCTGATCTTCAAGTAAGACCCTTTGGGGGTCAAATGGCTACATTTGTCGGTGGAGGGTATGTAGCAGATCTTGGATATAATTTTCGTACAGCGTTAAAAGTTATCAGAGTTTTAGAGGAGGACAACTGGATTGATGACCATACCATGGCTGTTTTCATTGAATTCACCATTTTTGAACCGTCAAGTTCTCTCTTTTCCACTATCAAACTACTGTTTGAAAGATTCCCTACAGGTGGATCCAGTGCCAAGACATCAATTAAGACTCTATCGCTCTATGCGTCGTCTGATCCCAACTCTAGAACGCTCTTTCAAGTTTGCCAACTTCTGTTAATGATAGTTCTCATCGTCTTTTTGTTCGCCGAGATTGGAAAACTGCGTCGTGAGAAATGCTCGTATTTTAAGCAAATGTGGAACTGGTTGGAACTTTTGCAGATTTCCAGCACAATCTGCTCATTGGTATTCTTTTTCATAAAAGAATCTCAAACGAGCAAGTACGTGAAAAAACTTCAAGAAAATCCTTTTCAGACGTCAAGCCCTGACAATATTGAATTTATGTCTGACATGGAAACCTATGTACTTTCTTTCGTCATCTTCATAATGACGATCAAGTTCCTGAGGCTGATTAAGTTTAACAGCCATGTTTGTCAAGTTCTAGGAACAATACAGAAAGCAGCCAACAATGTGCTTTCCTTTATGACTGTATTCGTTACAATTCTGCTAGCTTACACACAAGTTGGATTTCTGGTATTTTCATCTGATGTTGACGCGTACAGATCATTTTACAGTTGTTTACGAGCCATGTTGCTGTTGCTTTTTGGAGGCGAAATGCGTTTGGAAGAATTACGATCTACCAGCAGATTCATTGCACCGATGTTCATCTTCGGTTATCTGTTTTCCATGGCGATGGTTCTTTTGAATATGTTCCTTGCCATCCTAAATGATTCTTATTACGAGGTCAAGAACGTGGATGCTGGAGAAACGTTTGCTAACGCCGAGCTGGGAGCATTTATGGCAGATTACATGAAGGACAAATATAACAGAGTCAAAGATGACACTTTGGAGCTTATAGAGGAGACAATTATTGGAGTTATAAACTTTGTCCGCGGAGACAGGAATTCGAAACAGTCTGACGACGAGGCTCCCTTGCAGAGCCCACCAGAAGAGTCTCAGAGCGAAGAAGCCAAACTTGCCTCTCTTGATTCTATGTATGATATTGAAGGTGATGGTGACGAGAAGGATGGAGCCTCAGATCGTCTTGTAAAGAATGGTTCCAGGGAGAGTCTTTCGGACTTAATGTGTGAAAGTGTGTCCCTCAGTGATCTTAAGGAAGCGATTCTTCAGATTGGCCGAGAAATGCGTCAATCTGTGACGTCACTTACTTCAGCTGTCAGTAATTTATCTTTGAACGAAAAGACATCGAAGAAAGCCGTTCACTGGCTGGACGAGGAAGGCGAAACATTAGACTTTGATAATCGAACTTCGCCATATTTCTTTTCGCTTGGTAGTTACCTCGAAGATATCTGGCAAAAAGAAGAAAATAGGAGAAAAAGAACTGGGAAAAGCCGGCCAAAAGATCGTCGTCAACGTCGTTACAAACGGCGGCAGATACCTACTCGCCAGGAGATTTATGTGACAAACAATGTCTATTAACCAGTACAACGCGAGACAGTTTATAACATCGAAGAAGCAATTAAAACTAGCAAGCTTCCACTTGATGCACTTTTCGATTAAGCGATTTTTGATGGAGTGTTGTAAAACCACTGACAACCAAATTAATCCCAACGACCAATCAGAAGAAAGAAAAATACTTTTCAGAGTCAATAAGAGCTCAATTATAACCAACCAATTTGCCAAAAACGGCGGGAAAATGCGAGTAACTGATTGATTGAAAGAGTGCCTCGAGTTTTCTGGACCAGTCACAGAGCGAAGTTAATAAAAAAAACATAGCAGCAATCCCGGCAGTCAATGGAAAATTAGTCTAAATATTTTATTCAAAATCTTCCACGAGCATAGGAGCTATTGTTACTGAGACAAGGTCTGAGAGTAATAGAAATGGATTATTTAACCCTACCAGACGCGCAAGTGGATGATATCATGTTAAAACATCTTCCTCAGTGACATAACATTTTCGTGGAGGTCTCATCTGTAATATTTGATATTATACGCAGTTCCATACATTACCTGAAGCATTAAATAATGATTAGTTTGTATGTCTGTTGCGTCACTTTACGTAGATGCTGTTACGCCTTATTTAGGGATTAGAATTGCGGTGGATCCATGAATTTTCAATGGGGGGGGAGTGGGTACAAATTATGATTCAGAGAGCTTAGAATTTTTTTAACTTTAGACCCAAATAAGGTAAGGAGCATTTCAAGTCACTAAGATTTTTCATTATTCTTGTGGAGTAATGATATGCGATCATATTGTTGCATAAGTTTTTCTGTCAGACAAGCAGCAAAAAGAAAACGCACGGGTCTGATGGGGGCAGAGAGGGGGCCAAAACTCCGCGCGGACCTTTCCTCCAGGATTTGGTCCAGGATCCGGCATTGAAAATTGAATCGAATAAGGAGATCTAGCCAGATCTAGACTAGTTAGTCTCTTAACCAGACCTCTCACGGCCAAGCGGTCAGAGGCAGAGTAATCGTGAAAGCCTGGTGACTAGGACAGTGATCTTGGGTATCATGGAAAGCGGTGAAAGTAAATTGGCGCGAGAATGTCGGTGTTTGAAACCAGAGAAAGGGAAGTTTAGTCGACAATAGTAAATCAGGTCTGTGCTAAAAAGATAAAGATGTTCTTAAGATGATCAGTTCAGTCAAAGTGGAGAAGTTTGAGCCTTTTGGTAAAGCCTTCTGTTCCCTGCACCCATTTGCGACTCTTTCTAAAACTGGAAATGCACGATCAAACCTTGAGAGTGAAATCGAACCGGTAAGTCTTTAGCTAATATGACCAGAAGCGGCAACTGAATAGCGCTTAAAAGGGAAATTTAAAAAATGGTTACAGATGATGGGGCTCCATCGCATGGAGATCAACCCAGTGATTAATCGACCAGTTCACTTGAAATTGACTAGCTACTTGAAATATTGATGGCCTCCTCGCTCGATCATGTCAATCATGTGTACGAACTTTGTAAGTTTCCCTTCCGCTTAGTGCACAAGATAGCGACGCAGGTTTTCTTGGATCGTTGCTGTTAAAATTCCGTCATCGATTCGGTTTATGTGGTTAACTTTTACTGTGTGTCAGTGCACTTAAAGTTTCCGTGGCACGAAATTTTGTCTGTACAGTACACCATTGAATAAAGTAAGATGGCTATAAGAAAATAAAAGTTTTCCTTGAAAATTGGTGCGTATTTCAGTATGGCTAGTGAAATGTTTCCCAGACATCGAGTTGTCTTGCATGGAAGATTAATTTATGGAGAAGTCAACCGCTGGGGAATGTACTGAAACCCAGACGGTTGATGGTGGATGAAGATGATGGACGATGGACGAGAGACGCAAGATGGTGGATGATAGACGGCAGACTGTAGACTGTTATGAAATTAATGTGACATAAATCATTCTTTCACGGGTCATTGTGTTGCTACAGTTGCCACTCCCAATCGATGACTGCTTAAGGTTGTTGTCAACAAAATAGGGTGCCTTCTGGAAAAATTGTACATGTGCTTTCTGGGTACCTTGCATTTGTAATGTGACATCCCGTGAAAGAAAGATTTATGTGACACTAACAAGATTGTATGACCATTTTGAGTTGTGTTACAAAATCCTTTGTCTATCATCTATTGTCTGCTGTCTATTGTCTGTCGTCGATCATTTATCATCGATCATCTACCTTCTATGGTCTTTTGTCTATTGTCTTATGTTTACCCTCTATGTCTAACTTCTAACATCTACCATTTACTGTCTCTCATCTCTTGTCTCTGGTCTATCATCTATCATCTATTTTTTATCATCAATCATTTATCATCTATGGTCTATTGTCTACTGTCTGGGTTTTATTTAGTACATGCCAACCTGTGGACATTTTAAACCAGGTCTTTACTATTGCAAAAGCCCCCCACTACTGATTTTATCCATACACCTCATTGGCTTTGAACCCCTCTCCAACAAGAAATCTAAATTATTGGGAAGAATGTGTGAGAGTATTCCTCTCAACATGATTAGTTATTAGTGGCCCAATTTCATCACCAGCAGGACAGGGTGTGAATCGTGCTTGAAAATGGACAAAGTCCCTTGACATTAAATGTATCCTATTCCTGCTTGTGGTTGTGTGAGTACCATAGAAATAGGATATCACCCAGTCCTTTTACCATTAAAAATGAAATTTGTTGCAGGTTATGTTTTTTAAAACCTAAAATCATCTGTTATAATATTATTTTTTTTCATCAGACATGCAAATGGATTTTGAGGTCCACCAAAGAACACCCAGAGTGCTACGAGGAGGTACACTGTACATGTTCTGTACACACTGTAACTGCTGTATGTCAAGTAATGGACTTAAGATGGGGGTACTAATTTAGAGGGGGCACTTATTTATGATTGAAGAATGCACCAGGGAGCAGGGATGGTGTAGTGGTGAGAGCACTCTCCTCCCACTGCTGTGGCCCTGGTTCAATTCCTGGACCTGGCGTCACATGTGGGTTGAGTTTGTTGTTGGTTATCATACTTGCTCTGAGGGTTTTTCTCTCGGTCCTCGAGTTTTCCTCCCTCCACAAAAACCAACTTTCCAAATTCCAATTCAATCTGGAAATAGTGGACAAGAGGAGCCACCCAATGGAATGTCTATTGCTGAATTATTTATTTATTATTTATTTATATATAGAATGGTTCCTATTTCAATTTTTTGTACTTGGGACCTTTCTTAGTATTTAGTTGTTGTTATGAACACTAGAATCTCTAGTTGATATTATGACTAGTATTTAGCAGGCAGCTATGTCACTGATTCAACATATGAGTAAAGAAATATGATTTTTTTTTTCTCAATAATGTCAAGCAAATTTTCATTTTTGGCTTGATTTCAGTTATTTATGCAAGGTAGCACTGTTGTTTGGAGTGTTGGAAAGTCTCCAAAAGTGAGGACAGTACAGAAATGTTATTCAGCCAAGTCTCTGATAGTAGATTGTTTATGGAGCAAGTTTCACCTTCCATCTGAATATTGCAACAGAGGAGAGAAGCAAGTTTTGTCTGGTTTGTTCTCGATCATTGTTTTTTTTTTTCTTTTGCAATCATGCTTATGAAATTATCTTGAAAATGAATTTCAAATTGAATTGTTTGGCACATTTTTTGAACCCTTCAACCCCTTCAAAAAGGAAGGTCATGAAAATAAAGGAAATGGTCACTAATTAAAGAGGATCCAGGGCTCAACACTAACTTTTCAACGTACTAGCCAAGTGGCTAGTGACAACATAGATATTGCAACAATTTCAGTTTATTTACTAGCCAAACTGGCTAGTGTGAATCGAAAACCACTAGCCAAAACCGAATTTCTACTAGTCAGTGGCTAGTTGGCTACTGTTAGTGTCAAGCCCTGGGGGATCTTATCAGAACCATGGCAAATGTACAGAGAGCAGTTGGGAGAATATGCAAACTGATCTGAGGGTGTAAAAGGTTGGCTTCCTGGACAGCTTGCATAATTTCATATTGTTTCCGCTGCTTGTGGAAGGTTTTAAAAATTCTACAAGGAGCATTTACTATGCTTTTCAAACGTGCAAATTACAGGTCTTATGAATTGCATGTTGATAGTGGGAGACACGGCAGCATTATTGTTACCATTAGTTTGCTTGTCTCCCAGTAAAGAGATCCTGTTGCAAGACCTTCCTGTTGCATTGTGTTGTGTTTCTTTGCAAGGTACTTTACACTCACTGTTCCTCTCTCTAACCAGGAGTAGAACATTCCCACATGATCGAGTGCACACTTGTTTTGTAATCAATCATCTTTACCCCATATTACAATTTCTAGGGGAAATATTACACGGCCTTTGTGTTGTCCAGAATGACTGTATCGATGTGCTGTCAAAGGATGGAGCTCTCTTTACCATAACCCTTCCTTTTCCAGTGAGTAATAGTCCTAGAAATGTTGTTTCAGCAAAAATGTTGTTTATGAGTATGTGAGCGACCTTTGCAGTAATGAACACTACTTAAGCAGTGGTGAAAATAAGGCCTGAAAAAAAGAATTCAGGCGTGTACAGGATCTGAACCCATGACCTCTGCGATACTGGTGCAGTACTCAACCAACTGAGCTAACAAGCCAACTGGAAGCTGGTCATTATGTTGGTTCATATTAAACCCGTTTAAGTGATATTAATCAGTGAAATTTTTGTTTTTAATTTTTTTTTTTCAGGTCACATTTCCACTACTACATAAGTAAGGTTTTTTACTGGGAGAATCTCTTTTATACATTTCATGAAACTGCACAGTCATATGATTTTCATATCTTCAAAGATGATCGAGTCCTAGGAATGTTGTTTCAGCAAAATGTTGTTTATTTTGAGACTTCTCAAATCACTGACTGAGAAACAGGACAAGCCTTTTAGTTAGTTGTAAACTGTCCATTGCAGTCTTGCAAAAGTATCTGCAAATAGTTTTAAAAGCACACAGAGCACAGTTTAATAAGGACAATATTACTAATGTTGTCAAATTCAAATCAGAATTTATGAATGCATAATCATTAGTGACCCTTGAAAACTGATTCTACTCAGTCAGACTTTACCTAACTTAAAAATTGCCTTAAATTAAAAATTTGTACTGTTATTAAATGTATTCATCATTCAAACAATCAATGGAGTTGTAGATTTCCTTGTGGTAAACTTTAGAGGACCAGACTGAATTGCCACTGACAATTATTTAAATTTTCTAGAATCAAATTCTTGGAAGGAAACAATAAGAGATATCTTTGCTATAATACACCTTTATTACACGACTCGGGCAGTCAGAGGGCCAATAACTAAAATCAACCAATCAAAATGCTCTTTTGCCGGTCAATATTCTCTAAGTATTGGACTGGGCACTGTCCCGAATGGTCCCGAATGATACCGCACTTGTGTCCCTTTGAACTTCAGTCTTATAATAAATCTCCTATTAACCAAGCTTGCTCGGGACCATACGGGAAGAATATCGGCCCTCGGTCTTTTTTGTATGGACCTCGCTGTGCTCGGTCCGTACTGTCAAGACCTTGGGCCGATATTCTCCCAGTACGGCCCTCACGCTTGGTTAATAAGATATGTATATATAATCAGATTTAAATTCAATTTAAGACAGAATGACCATGCGTTTACAATCTCTTTCCAGGTGAAACAAGTGATTGCGTTACAAGAGGGATTGTTACTTGAGAGAGCAACAGCACCAGGAGAAATCACAGGGCAGAGGAGGTAATAAACCTTTTCACTCCAAAGATCTGATTGGTAATTCTTCTTACTGTCTGTTGTAAAATTTTTAAGATTTGGGTTTGGGGAATTCATTATTGGAGATCGACTAATGATCCCCTACTTGATATTCTCCCATTATTCTCATCACTTGTCTACTTGGTATTGACGTGGTATTGCAAGGATCGTTGTTGCAAGGATAATTGTCTTGATCACTCACAAGAGCTAAAGGGTTAAGAGGAGCTGAATAGTTAGTGAAATTGATATGATATTGATGAAAATATTAATTACTATTCTTTTAAATTTTTTTTTTTACATGAATAACGTATCAATACGATACTTGTTGACTGAGGATGTCTTTTTTCCAAGGGATATCCCTAGATTGTTTAGTGTCCTACATCCTTTGGATGAACCAAGACCTATTACATCTAAAGTGGAAGGTATTTTCATGCATGTACTTTTACATGTGGTAGAAAACACTTTAATGACAGTCTGATGTTTTGCACACCAAACTCCCCAATGGTAACAATAGAGTTAGAAATTAACAATTATTCACCAAAGTGGAGGTGAATAGTGGTGCATATTTACCTTGCCACTTTGCGGCTCAGTAAATATCCACCACTTTCAAAGATGGTGAGGTTAATTATTAATTGTCTTATTATATACCACACAGATACCAAAAAATTGGTTTATTTCTTTCAATCTATCTCTCCAAAAATGGTTGGAAATTAAACTCTTGATACACAATTTTGTCTTGTTTACTGCTCAGAGGTGAATAGTACTTGCTATTCAACTCCAAACTCGCCCATCATTAGACGTGAAAAGCACTACCTTAACCTACCTACCTACCTACTTACTTACTTAATACTTACTTACTTACTTCTCATATACGACTTACTTACTTACTTACTTTATGGCAACTCCCTACAAGGGTTTTTCAGTTACAAGGCTACATAAATATCACACTAAAATAACTAATTAACCAAGTGACAAAGGTAATAAATATGTGATTGAATATTAGTGAAATACATTAAGAAAGAGAAAAAAAAACAATGGTTTGGATTTACTATTTACAAATTCATAGATTAATCAGAAAAAAAGTAGGCTAACAATTCTTTTCTAAAACCTTTTACAGAGTCTGAAGATTTAACGTCGTGTCTTAGATTTTTCCAGGGCCTAACACCATGGTAGGTCATTTTTAATATAAACGATTTGGTCTTATCTTTCCTTTCACAGGAAAGATCTCCTACATATGTGACCCAGCAGTTAGTGTGGTGTTTTCATGCAGCGACCCTCCTCTGGTTATGACATATGACTCTGTCATTGGTTTACACTCTGTATGGCACATGATCAAAGCAACTGCTCAAGTAAGGCTACACTTAATTACCAACAGTTCCATCATTCTGTTTCTTCCAAGTTTGGATTTTTTCTGTATGATATTGGATACAGTAGCTCCCTCTGGGTTAGAGGCCCATCTACTTTTTCCCAATTTCCATTTGCATCACTGCTCATTCAAAACCTGTGATAGTGATGATGATGATGCCAATTGGAAAAACAAGACCCTTCAAATGAAAGCGCCCTACAATCCTGGACATAATTAGTAGAAATACTTCTCCAGAGCAATATCTGTGAAGTTCTTGCACACATCTCCCCCTACCAGTGTTAATTGCCAATGTGTGTATGCCATCTTGAACACCAGTGTTGAGAGGGGTGGGGGAGATAACTTCTCCCTGTTTGTCATCTGTTATTTATGAACTTGCCTTTTGTGTGTTAAGTCTCAAAGACCACAGTTTTCATTTTAAGTATAGTGTGCCAATCAACCTTTCAGGAGCTTATCTAACAATTGATATAAATCTCTGGAAATACATGTTCATCCGAACTAACCAACATCTCTGTTATTTTCATAGGACTGCCCAGAATCTCCAACCCGTGTAGAGCACCCTTCAGAAATACATTTCAGTAACATTCTTCATCATCCCACTCCATTGCTATCAGCTGGGGCTCACTCCCGATTATCGGTAGCCACTCCTACCCAGTCCTTCTCACCATTCAACCCTTTCACTCCAGCATCAGCTGTTAAAGCTCATTCTGGTGTCCAGTCTCCTGCACCTGCTCATTTGTTATCACCAGCTTGGAACAGAACAATATCTCCGGCAGTCGGTAAGTTATGATCATTTTTCTGTTTTGTTAAATGTTCTGCATTTATGCTTCGAATAATTCTTCAAGCTTCTTGAACTGTATTATCTAAAATCTAAACTAGAAATTTGATTCTTTGTTCTTGGAAAAACAAGACCTGGTGGGCTCAATGTGTTGTGTTGTTGAGCAAAACATTCTACTTGCACACTGCCTTTCTCCACCTAGGAGTCTGGATGGGACAGACTTTGCCCTTTTTTTTTTTTGAAAGTCTGCAAATGTACTTGAGCAAAATGGCCTATCCAGCCAGAGCTTATCCTCAGGATAAGAGAGTATTGCACACCCCCCCCCCCCCGATAGGATGCAATTACATCAAGGGCTACTCCCTGCATTTCATCATGCTTTTCTGAAAGTTCGCTGATGACCATTTTTTCTTGGGTAGGGAGAGGCACTGTGAAAATAGATCGAATGTCTTGCCCAAGGACATAACGGAGTCTTGCCGCTAAGACACAGACCTAGATGCACTCACAAGCATGCTAACCATTTGGACACTGTGTCTCCTAGAGGGATGAGTGTTATTACCCTTAATTAATTCATGCTGGAGAAAGAAGAGCAACTTCTGATAGTAAAAAGCAAGTAGAACTCAGAGACTTAACTTTAACTTTTGTTTTGTAGATTCTCCAGTAAGGATGCTGAGGTCTCCCCTTTCCTTCTTTTCCCCGCTCATGTCATGCTGTTCAAGCAAAGAGGAATCATCCTGGGACAGCTTTCAGCCATTGTCCCCAGATGTTTGCCTTACTCAGGTTTGGCAAGAAACAGAAGTAGCTTTCAGGTACAAGACTCCTATGCTCTTTTGTTGGATTTAGGATGGATGTCTCATGATTTTTTTGTGAAGTCTGGCAATCTAAACTACATTTTGTACTTTAAAAAAATATAAGGTTACTCTCTTTGAGTTTTTTCAAACTAGAATAATTTTTTATTTTTCTTACTTTCTCTTTTGTAATCAGGATTTCAGTGGACAAGTACTTCCCTGACCCAACATAGAAAATACTCCCCTCCCAAAACTGATAACTGCATAGAGAGTTGGGGAGGGGAAGGGAAGGGAGAGTTGGGGAGGGGGGAGGGGAGGGGTGGTTGAATAGGGACTTAAATCTAAAATCTTGATTTACTTTATGTGAGTAGCAAATGATCTCAAAAAAAGCTTTGAGGACTTTTCTATATAGTAAATGCATTTAGTGCAGAGTGTACCAACCATACCTCTAGATTTAACTCTTTTCAATCATAAAATTGTTATTTATGTGAAAGTTTATGAGAATTGGGCCCCAGTTGAAGTTAAATTTACCATTATTTTTGAGAATTGCAATTTCACTTTATCCTGTTTTAGTTCTAGATGTGGCCCAAAAGAGAGAGCTTCAAAAGCATTCTTAACAAAAGACAAATCTGGTGCTACATTTCTTTGTTACCTTCTTGGGCAGTTAGACAAATTAAGGTAATAGCTCTTGCTCGGTGAAACTTATTGGTCATGTACATAATTATTCTAATGCAGTATTTCAAATTTTAGAACATACATGAACCTTTGGTTTAGAAAAATTAAAGATCAGTAATAGTATGTGTAAGCAAAACATGCATAACTTAAACATACACTGGTGTTTGACCATAACCAATAAATTTCTTCTGATTTCCAGTTAAAAGTGGCTTCAGTGTGTCAATTTAACTTACATGTAAGGGTTATACAATTATTCATCATCATCATCATAAACTTTATCTCATCTCGAATTTTAGAGTAGCTTGTTGGAGCTAATATCTTGGAGAAAAAATAAAATGGAGATTATCCATATTGATCTGTGCCATTTGCTTTAGTATTATCTCTCAGTTAATACATGCATTATGATTGGTTTATTTAGCATTCTGTATTTCACTTTATGGCCCGCTAAATTCAAAAGTTTGTTTGAATTGAAATATTTCCCTTCTATTTGAAATCAGAGATAAAATAACCATCTTACCAAACTTGCTTTTGGGATCCCTATTGTACAGCAGGGAACCTCATTTTTTCCACCAGGATTTACATGTATAGCCCATGCACTTCATGTTTGGGCCATGAACCTGGGTAGAAAATACTTAATGATAATAATAAAACCTTTATTTAAAAGTGTCAATGCGTTTAGCCCAGATGGACTAACTGGGGACTTGGTCCATAACTTACAGTATGGACTTCAATCTCGGTTAGGACTAAGGTAGTGGTTTGTATTATACTGTAGTTTGAATTATGTTTGTTCCCTTTTTTACAGAGGGGTACGGGTTATTCAGGATGGTGACTGTTTGGATTTTACTGACACATTTGAGATACCTGCAAAGGATGCTGCCCCAGTTGAGGTAACATTGTAAAGTAAATGTAGTTGCACACCTTTGAACTGAATAAACTTCCAAGTTGCATGCATGTTATTAATTTGGCAAAGAACTCCATCAAACAGCAGAATTGTTACTCACTGTACCATAAGCTAAAAGCCAATCAAACAACAAACTATGTGTATAATCCAGTTTATTATTTTATGACTATAATAACTTTTTACACCATTTTGTTCCTGATCTTTAGAAATTAAACGTGATGCTTGTTCTGGAGCCAAATTATTCACTAGTCATTTACAGTGGAATGGTCAAGGTATTAAAATGATGGTTTGTTGAATTTTAGATTAATGACTATGTGAGAATGATATTAAGAAAATGAACAGATACATTCTGTACACCTGTAGGGCTGTCCAGTAAATTTGCCAATTTTGCCATTGCTGGAAGTTGATGAATCATTGCACTTTAATACATATGAAAAGGTAAAGAGACATTTAATTGCTTTTATGTTTTTTCATTGTTGTGATTTTGAGATAGCTTATAAGGACTCTAATGGAAAAGAAAACAGTTAAGGAGTAAGGGGCAAGAATTCTTGGAAACTGCTAGACCTTTATATCTCTATAGTAGTATGGTAGTGAATGTTGTTAAACCAAAACCAAAACAATCACAACAGCTAATTATAGCAAGGAAAATATCATCAGAACTTGGAGTTAAAACAAGCAAACTGGCCAAAGTATGAGAAAATGCGAGTACCTGGGTTTTGAAGTGATTACTTTTAGTTTTGAATCTGATTGGTCGAGAAAGTGGCACAAGTTTTCTGAACCAATCACATAACAAAACAAAGCAAACCTAAAAAAAAAATTCCCGGATTACTTTCAATACTTATTTGAAAATTGCTCTTTCATCTAAAGGCAAGTTTCTCTGCTTTAGTTATGATTTGTCCCCTCTTTTATAGCTCTGAGGCAAGTAGAACGAGGACACGAGCACTTGCACCTCATTGCCAAAGCCTTCTTCACTCTGTGGTTCCTTTCTTTGAGTTCTCTCAGCCCTGTTATTTTGCCTTTTTGTCATTTTGCAGCTTTTTGATACAATCATCCTTTCTTTGATCCACATTTTCTCGTTTCACCATCTCAACAGGTTTTATCATTGTCATCAATTAAACTGGGCAACGATGATGTGAACATGGATGGTGAGTGAACAGAAAGGCGTACTGTGGGTCTGATAACTTCTGATATGGCCTGCAAGCAGAAAATTAAATTACCTTGTTTGCCTTTAGTCATGCCATAGATGTAAACGTTACACCATCAAAGGGAAATGCATTGCAGGATGTGAAAATTTCATCACTGAGAGATCCAGTGTCTACAACTTGTAATCTGGTAATTCATCGCATTGTTATATTTTGATGCTGTAATCACATAATTGAACACTGAAATTTAACAAATGGTAAACACCACAGC